ACAGTACGGAAACAAGGGAAATTAGGATGTGTTTACTATTGTTACCCCCCCCCCCCCCCCCCCNTATCTTTTATAAGATATCTTGTAAAAGATATAAGATATCTAATAAAAGATATAAGAAATCTCATAAACTTTTCTTTATAAGATATCTTATATCTTTTATAAGACATCTTATATCTTTTATAAGACATCTTATATAATATATAAGATATCTTATATCTTTTATAAGATATCTCAATTAATTTTCTTTATAAGATATCTTATATATTATATAAGATATCTCATAAAAGATATAAGATATCTTATAAAGAAAAGTTTATGAGATATCTTATANCGGAGTTTCTCCTTTTAATGGCAATGTAAAATAACCATCTAGCTGTAGGCACTTAAGTAATTTAAACGTTTCATTTTTACTACTTTGTTGCAGATGTGTTAAGAGTTGTATAAGAAAGTGTTTATTTTTATGTCTGTTTTTGTATTTGGTTCTGATAATAATAATAATATACAAAATTTGATATAGCGCCCGCTCTAGCTAACATAAGCCACTCTAAAGCGTTTTACAGTACATAGATATACAATCAATACAATTAACATATACATAAATCAATACAATTTTTGAGGAATGCACAGGAATGCCTTATCATGCGCTAACTACTAGTCCTATGCCACCTGGCTAATACCTCCCAATGTGTGTATGCCTGAGTGTGTGCTGGAGATGTTTTGTGTTCTGTTTGTAGTGGGGCCGTGCTTACAATGGAATCTTTTATAGTGCCACCTCACTTGAATGCTACATTACAGATACCGCAACATCCATCCCAGACCATTTTATATTCCACCTGGGTTGTTGGAGTTGTGTGGGCAGGAGAAAATCACTTTCTCTGATATTCCATGCGTGCGACGACTTCGAGGATAGAGCAGTAAGAAGTAAGAATTAGTCCACAGAAAGTGTGCAGGGCATGCATGTCTCTATATTAGAAGTGTCCGAACTTCCTATTTATGACACTTCGTTTTCGACCATGATGAAGGACCTTTCACCGTGTCGAAAATCGAAAATAATGAAAATCATTGTCGCAATTTTCAAGAATTATCGCTGAGGAGTTTATCGGTTGTATCCTAAGGAACAGCATGAAATGTAATCTTCCTGTGAAATTTTGATATGTCGAAAAGCGTATCAGGACAGGTAATACAACTCTAACCAATTACTGCAATGTTTGGTCTTTAAAAAAAATCAAGAAATGTAATAACCGCGTGGATAGTATATACCGTCCTGAACTTGAACTTGAACTTGAAATCAAGAAATGTTCTTCACAAGCCACCTACCTCGGTCTGGACTTATAACAGTATCTACAGGGAAAGCTTACAGTACTATTTGCCGTTCGATCAGCACGATTTCTATTTTCTAATCTTGAACTTTCTCTTTCTTGAAAGTAACATCCCTGCTTCCACAAACTACATGTTGCAGAGGCTTTAATATTAATAGGCTTGCTCACACTATCATGTTTAGCACGGTATTTGCTGAGTAATGTCGAACATTTTTATATCTAAGGGTTACGAGAGACGCAGGTTGATAGGGACTATTTGCTTACTTAGAGTCTCATGGGAAATATTATTTGCATGAATATCGGCGTTCGTGAATACTTGAGTATGCCCATGACGGTCTTTTACACTTTCGTGATTATGAAGCACAGCACGATTACCATTCAGGAATACACTCTTATTCTCCTTGTACTGTTTTAGTGGGCTCCACGTAAATATCGTTCTGTTGATAGTCTGCCCTAGTGCTATTGATATTGAGTGCAGACATATAGCATTGTGTATACTTCGACATGTTTTCATAACTATATTATATAACAAGAAACTTAACAAAATTATTTGAAATTTTATTTCATCATTTGTAATATAATGTTTGCATGCACTTTAAAGCAGTAATGCAAACTGAATGCATTTACACTCTATATGAAACGTTCTTTACAATTGTTACAATATAAATAAAGTTTTTTCTCTCTCATTCGTTTGTATATCAGATATAACAATATTAAGTAAGAAAGCAGGCACATCGTGGTGTAAGAAATCTGTATCCTGCCATCCTTGAAAATCAAACGTGTTCCACTCTCGACTCAATGTTTTACCACTGTACCCTGGAATATGTCATGCCAAAATCAAGGGCCCTTTACGTCAAATCTTCCAGCTGATACAGGTAGACAAATATGACGTCTTGAATGAAGATCAAAGTATTAGCACAGGTAACACTAAAATCAACACGCTTTGAAGTTAGATGTTAGCGCCTCATTTATCTGCAAAGGACAAGTATGAAACTAGCGATATGTCAGTCTGTTTTATATTTTTAACCAATAAAAAGCTTCATACGAGTCATGGATTTTGTCATGGCATATTCCAGGATTGCAGAGAAGATGTATGTATCTAGAGCGGTACCCTTGTATTTCGAGGATGCTATCTTAGACGCAATTGCATGTGCACGTCGGTATTCGTGACGTCACCATGGAGACGATATATTAACAATCAAATGCTATGACCTTTAGTCTGACTTGAAAATTTGTTTGCTTTCTGCATCAACTTTACTAAATTAACTTTCTAAAACGTGCTTCCTTTCTTCGAATTTGTTACGAATATTGTTTATCTAATTTCAATTTTAACCGCTATGCGAATCTGTGTCCATATTCATGAAACCGTGCTAATGATCCCGCATGGATTTTGTGCTCCAGCCGAATTTCTTGTTCCCGTTATAAAGTAATAAAACAAACATCATTTTGTCAATGGTTTGGTAGAACATTGAAGAAACTTAAAGCTGTATGCTGTTTTAAATGTTTACATTTTTTACTTTTTGATCGTTTGGCATGATTTAAGCGAGTTACAAAAAAAGTTGGTTTGAGCATAGAATCCATTCTTGAGCATGAGAACGGTTTCATGAATACGGACCAGTCCTTTCTAAGCATTATTATATTTTTTTCAAATGTGCCGTTTGAAATCGCATATGTTTAGGATTTATTAAGACCAAATTCACCGTTTTTTAAAAATTATTTTGTGAAAAGGTACGACAGAAAAATTCACTTTTACACAAATATTTTAAAATCTCGAATATGTAAATTCTGTTTAACGCTCATCTTTACCAGGACAAATGAAGCAGGTGTTTTTCCAGAGGTTCTTTTGATTGGTGAAACATGAAAGAAACTAAATAATGCATACAATGATATTACCATATTATGAATCATTTATTAGATTGTTGCCAAAGATACAAATGTGTTTTTAACACGAATCGGAAAACACATATATATCTCATATATAAGGCAGTATATAATCCTAAATCAAGTCACACATTTTAAAAAAACATGGCAAGTACGAACAACAGTGAATTTATATCAATGATGATGTAATTAATTGTACCAGAGTTCCTTTAACAGGAAGGGGGTATCATGATACAGGTTTTTGACGAATACAATTTTGTTTTTGCGTCTTTGATAACCGAAATTATTCTTCACATTGTAAACAAAGCAAGGACAAAACAGCTGAATTCTATTCCAATATTGATCACTCTGTGTGGGTTAAAACTATTGAGAATATGCATTTCTGCTCATGTGTTCCTATCACTATTAACGCTATAACATGTATGCGTGATGATAAGTAGTTTTATTACATTTTTAGAAGTAAAAATCGTGAATTGTCATTTTATAAAGACATATATTTTCATATCCCTTTCAATATATTAACCAATCAGACTGGCACTTTCTATTCATTGCATTCAAAGACGCATATTTTCTGCTAAAATGCAGATTAAGCGACAGTAGAATTATATATTAGCTTAAGAGCACGGTTTTTTGTACGTAAATACATTATTAAAACACCTTTTTGATTTGGATTTTTTACCAGATAATAGCAACAAACGATCGAATTGTGGTGAGTAACCCTTTTAAAAAGGTGCACAGCCTTTCAGCCTGACGCCATTAGTACCAGGCGTCAAAACGCATGCTTCTAATTTCATAAAGTACAGGTATACCTGCAATCATTTACTTGAGTTTTTCATTGTATATATTATTGATAAGTCAATTGTTAAGCTGTCAAATTGAATTCGTTTCCAAACTGAGTGATGAAAAAATATGACATGATATCAATATATTCGATATGGTTCATCACCATTGCTCGTGGATGGCCATAAACCTTGGCCTATTGCATGAATATATTCTGACACGCTTTAACGCAATATTACTATAGGGATGAATTATATGCTGATATCAGGTGTTTGGATCCTAAAGGGCATCAAAATAGCATTATGATAATCTCTAAATATTTATTTCAAAATGATACCAAGTATTTCAAGTTAAGCTCTTCAATAATAAACTGATTTCATGTGCAAAACAATCAGGAAGTACACGGATTTGTAGCAAATATATGGTATAGGAGGATCACAGATAATCATACTTAACTTATTCACCCCTGAAATGAACTATTCCAACCTTTGAATTGGAAGAGTTCAACTGTGTCTTCAGGGGTTAATGAGTTAATCCACAGAGGTAATTGCCAACCGGTCAAATATGCATCCTTCTGAAGTCCAGTGTAAGTTAAGAAACAATAGTTTCTACTCTACCACTAGCGAAAGGTTATAATTTAAAAAAATGAATTAATTATCAATTTACTGATTTTTAAATCAAAATCGTAAAAAGAAGATCGCTTCGGCACGTAATACAATGTACCGTTATAGTTATATAACACTACTGTAATGTGACTTTCTTCAAACAATGTAAACAACAATGCATGTACATTAATATCATATTGTAATGAAATCATGAATGTTTATGTTCAGTGAAGAGAAAAAAGCAGATAAGGACATGAGCTCATGGTTTCCGTAACTGTGGTATTGATTATGCCCTATTCCGTCTTTGCGTATTGCAGAGTTATCTTCTCTTGAGAGCAGGGATTGATTGATACGTCATTGGTTTGTGTGAGGAAATTACGTCGTTTTCTCAAAAAATGATGACCTTACACTCACAAACAAATGACGTAACAATCAATACCTGCTTTCAAGAGAAGATAACTCTGCAATACGCAAAGACGGAATAAGAATAACGATAACAAAAGCGATGGCTCATATAGTTTTAGAAAAGAATCTTAAGCCTGTTTTCAAATCCGGTTTATTTTCGAACCGTTTAAACAGTAAGTGTTCTAGATCATCCGGCTGTTACATCATATATACAACCATAGCATCAAATATTTATGGAAACACAATGAAACGCTAATTTACAAATCTTAGTTATAATGATTAGAAAATAGGCTGTTTTCCTTATAATAAAACTAATTCGCGACAAGAAAGGAAATATGATTTATGTCGGGTATAAAAGGACTTTTAAAAAAGGACGGTCTCCTTTCAAAACCGAGATATTTTCGAAAATTGTAATAATTTAATTTCAGATTTTCAAATCATGTTTATTATCCAGATATTTGGTATATGAAATGATTATGTATTCAATCTTTTGAAATTACAACTACTTACCACAAACATAACTTATTTTCATTTGTTTAGACTTATATGCTAATACGATTGTTGTTGTGGGTTTGAATACAACATGAATGACAACAATAAAACATATCTGAAATTTGCTGCAAACTAAAAAAAAAAAGATCGTTTCGATTTCATTTTAAAGTGAACAGGCAAACGTTTACACTTTTTTTCTAATAATTCCAAAATACAAAAAAACGATATATAAAAAACAAAAATCATATTTTCCTAAGTGTGTCAATGTTATAATTTATATCAAGGAATGATAATAGGGGCAAACCATTTACAATATTAGGTTTAAGACAGATATATGCAAACCCCACAAATGCCATAGTTGTACATAGACGTTAGAATCGCTACCCACATACTGTTAAAAAGTACTAAATTTTAACAACCCCAGATTTTAGGATATTATCGCATTCGAACTTATTAGCACATTGGTGAATTGGAGCATTCACAATATATGCAATAAAATACTATTTACATGCACAGAAACGTCAATAAGTGCAATCATAATTTAGCTCAAGTTTAAAAAAAAGAAGGAAAAACGCTTTGAATATCGCTTTAATATGCACGTTTACAGTATTTTGTAAATGAAATAGAATTAAATTTCGCTCATGATTTGATTTAACGATTATACACTACATTGCATTTGAAATGTGATTGTCATCATGCATCAAATTCTCTCATACGAATTATCTTTTATACATGTTACGAAATTCAAATCTAAACTTCCGGTCCCTGATCCCATATATTAAAGGATTAATGACGCTATTTGCAAAGTATGACCAAATAAATGTGTAATATACTTGAGACCCTTCAAGTGACAACTCACAGTCAAAGTTTTTGTTGATAAATATCAACAGCGCAAGCGTGTGATGTGGCAACGCACAACAAATATACCCAATGGTTACTGCGCATAATGTCCAGGTTGTTTTACGAGCAGCACTTCCGGTAGCCATTTTTATTTCTTCTTCCGATCTTGCAGACATCCGTCGGATAGTTGATTGAAACTTTCTGTGAGCGTGTATGTGACGACCAATTTTAATATATACTATGATGAGTAAGGTAATGACAGCGATGAAATACACTGTAAGCATCAGATGGAATACAACCTGGTACATTGATCCTTTATAGTCATCGTGAGTGTAACATCTATAACCGGTTTGAACTCCTGGAATTCCGGTTTCTATTGAGCTGAGTCCATACAGTATAGTAGCGGGCCAGGAAAGAATGATTGAAAACACGAAACTTCCAACACACAAAAGCTTCGCCTTCCGAATGGTAAACTGCGGACCAAGAGGACTGCATATCTTTTTGTGTCGGTCGATGGCGATAACCACCATGGAGGAAGTGGAAGCAATAGAAAACAAGTACAAGCAGAACCGGAATACCTTACACAATGCTAGAGACGGGTACGTCAGTGGAAAGAATAGGTACGATATCACAAGGGGCGCTACAACGCAACAATTCATGACATCCATTATGGCAAGATATAGGACATATATCTTATAGTTGGAGGTCCGAAACTGGCGTAAGTATATGAACAGAACATGGGTATTTCCGATGAGACCAATAACGATGAAAATAGAGAGAAGCCCAATGCCTCCGATATTCCTTCGCACAAATTGGCTGTTAAGGTCATCTAAGGTGATGTTGACGAATGACGGAAGTTCATCCGCCAGCCATGTGTGGCACTGCTTCCCGGTAGCATTGCTCACAGTCGAATTATCATCAAGAAACGTGTCATTCATGTCTGAAATGTAACAAATGAAAGATAAATATTAGAACACATCTCAGTCTGAGTTTTTTCTAACATGCGTACATTGCAAAATGGCAGCGAACAAATTTTGTCTTAACACAATGAAATGAGATGCGGAAATGCATAGAAATGTTTGTAATGCCCATTTCCAGCAATATGGTCTTGAGATCATGACAAACTTGTTAACTCTAGTGCACTAGTGTGCTCACTCCAGTGCACAACCCCAGACCGCAATCTTGTTAACCCTAGTGCATTAACGTGTTCACTCTTGTACATAAGCTTGTTAACCCTAGTGCACTAGCGTGTTCACTGTAGTTAACTACATTGAACAAGCTTGTTAGCCCTAGTGCACTACAGTGTAAACTCCAGTGCACAACCCCAGTCCACAAACTTGTTAACTCTTGTATATAGGCTTGTTAACCCTAGTACACAACCGTGTTAACCCTAGTACACAACCGTGCTAACCCTAGTACACTCCAGTGCACAACCCCAGTCCACAAACTTGTTAACCCTTGTATATAGGCTTGTTGACCCTAGTACAAAACCGTGTTAACCCTTGTACACAAGCTTGTTAACCCTAATGCACTACAGTGCACAACCCCAGTCCACAAACTTGTTAACCCTTGTACATAGGCTTGTTAACCCTAGTACACAACCGTGTTAACCTGAGTGCACTACAGTGTAAACTCCATTGCACAACCCCAGTCCACAAACTTGTTAATCATTTTACATAGACTTGTTAACCCTAGTACACAACCGTGTTAACCTTAGTGCACTACAGTGTAAACTCCATTGCACAACCCCAGTCCACAAACTTGTTAACTCTTGTACATAAGCTTGTTAGCTACATTGAACAAGCTTGTTAGCACTAGTGCACTACAGTGTAAACTCCATTGTACAACCCCAGTGCACAAGCTTGTTAACCCTTGTACATAAGCGTGTTAACCCCAGTGCACAAGCTTGTTAACTCTTGTACATAAACGTGTTAACCCCAGTCCACAAACTTGTTAACTCTTCTACATAAGCTTGTTAGCTACATTGAACAAGCTTGTTAGCACTAGTGCACTACAGTGTAAACTCCATTGCACAACCCCGGTGCACAAGCTTGTTAACTCTTGTACATAAGCGTGTTAACCCCAGTGCACAAGCTTGTTAACCCTTGTACATAAGCGTGTTAACCCCAGTGCACAAGCTTGTTAGCCCTAGTGCACTACAGTGTAAACTCCAGTGCACAAACTTGTTAACCCTTGTACATAGGCTTGTTAACTCTAGTACACAAGCTTGTTAACCCTAGTGCACTACAGTGTAAACCCCAAAGCACAAACTTGTCAACTTACATAAGCGTGTTTACTCATGTTAACCCTAGTGCAATGTCTTGTTAACAATGGTATATAAGCTTGTTAAGTCAAGCGTATAATCTTGTTAGCTTGAGCATACACATTTGTTAACTGTGGTTCACTGTCTTGTTAACTCGAGCACACTAGCTTGTTAACTGTGGTACACTGTCTTGTTAACACGGTACATAAGCTTGTTAACTGTGGTGCACTGTCTTGTTTACTCGAGCACACAAACTTGTTAACTTAGGTAAACTTTCTTGTTAACTCGAGCACACAAGCTTGTTAACTGTGGTACACTGTCTTGTTAACTCGAACACACAAACTTGTTAACTTAGGTACACTGTCTTGTTACCTCGAGCACACAAGCTTGTTAACTGTGCTACCCTGTCTTGTTAACTCGAGCACACAAACTTGTTAACTGTGGTATACTGTCTTGTTAACTCGAGCACACTAGCTTGTTAACTGTGATACACTGTCTTGTTAACTCGAGCACACAAACTTGTTAACTGTGGTATACTGTCTTGTTAACTCGAGCACACTAGCTTGTTAACTGTGGTACACTGTCTTGTTAACTAGAGCACACAAGCTTGTTAACTGTGGTACACTGTCTTGTTAACACTGTACCTAAACTTGTTAACTGTGCTACACTGTTTTGTTAACTCGAGCACACAAGCTTGTTAACTGTGGTACATTGTCTTGTTAACTCGAGCACACAAACTTGTTAACTGTGGTATACTGTAAGCTTGTTAACCCTTGTATATAGGCTTGTTAACCCTAGTGCATTCACGTGTTCACTCTTGTACATAAGCCTGTTAACCCCAGTGCACAAGCTTGTTAGCCCTAGTGCACTACAGTGTAAACTCCAGTGCACAAACTTGTTAACCCTTGTATATAGGCTTGTTAACCCTAGTACACAAACGTGTTAACCCTTGTACACAAGCTTGTTAACTGTGATACATGCATAGAAATGTTTGTAATGCCCATTTCCAGCAATATGGTCTTGAGATCATGACAAACTTGTTAACTGGGGTCCTAGTACACAACCGTGCTAACCCTAGTACACTCCAGTGCACAACCCCAGTCCACAAGATTGTTAACCCTTGTACACAAACTTGTTAACCCTAATGCACTACAGTGCACAACCCCAGTCCACAAACTTGTTAACTTAGGTACACTGTCTTGTTGACTCGAGCACACACGCTTGTTTACTGTGGTACACTGTCTTGTTGACTCGAGCACACACGCTTGTTTACTGTGGTACACTGTGTTGTTAACACTGTGCCTAAACTTGTTGACTGTGCTACAATGTCTTGTTTACTCGAGCACACAAACTACAGTGCACAACCCCAGTCCACAAGCTTGTTAACTGGGGTCCTAGTACACAACCGTGTTAACCTTAGTGCACTACAGTGTAAACCCCAAAGCACAAACTTGTCAACTTACATAAGCGTGTTTACTCATGTTAACCCTAGTGCACTACAGTGTAAACCCCAAAGCACAAACTTGTCAACTTACATAAGCGTGTTTACTCATGTTAACCCTAGTGCACTACAGTGTAAACTCCATTGCACAACCCCGGTGCACAAGCTTGTTAACTCTTGTACACTACAGTGTAAACTCCATTGCACAACCCCGGTGCACAAGCTTGTTAACTGTGATACATGCATAGAAATGTTTGTAATGCCCATTTCCAGCAATATGGTCTTGAGATCATGACAAACTTGTTAACTCTAGTACACAAGCTTGTTAACTCTTGTATATAGGCTTGTTAACCCTAGTGCACTACAGTGTAAACTCCAGTGCACAAACTTGTTAACCCTAATGCACTACAGTGCACAACCCCAGTCCACAAGCTTGTTAACTCTTGTACACTACAGTGTAAACCCCAAAGCACAAACTTGTCAACTTACATAAGCGTGTTTACTCATGTTAACCCTAGTGCACTACAGTGTAAACTCCAGTGCACAACCCCAGTCCACAAGATTGTTAACCCTTGAACATAGGCTTGTTAACCCTAGTGCAATGTCTTGTTAACAATGGTATATAAGCTTGTTAAGTCAAGGGTATAATCTTGTTAGCTTGAGCATACACATTTGTTAACTGTGGTTCACTGTCTTGTTACCGCGACCACCTACGCTTGTTAGCTGTTCTACACTGTCTTGTTACCTCGAGCACACAAGCTTGTTACCTGTGGTACACTGTCTGCTGAAATCGAGCGCACAAACTTATTAACTGTCGTATACTGTATTGTTAACTATCATGACAAACTTGTTAACTTAGGTAAACTTTCTTGTTAACTCGAGAACACACGCTTTTTAACTGTGGTACACTTGTACATAAGCGTGTTAACCCCAGTGCACAAGCTTGTTAACCCTAATGCACTACAGTGCACAACCCCAGTCCACAAGCTTGTTAACTGTGATACATGCATAGAAATGTTTGTAATGCCCATTTCCAGCAATATGGTCTTGAGATCATGACAAACTTGTTAACTTAGGTACACTGTCTTGTTAAAACTGTACCTAAACTTGTTAACTGTGCTACCCTGTCTTGTTAACTCGATCACACAAGCTTGTTACCTGTGGTACACTGTCTTGTTGACTCGAGCACACACGCTTGTTTACTGTGGTACACTGTTTGCTGAAATCGAGCACACAAACTTGTTAAGTAGTTAACTACATTGAACAAGCTTGTTAGCACTAGTGCACTACAGTGTAAACTCCATTGCACAACCCCAGTCCACAAGATTGTTAACCCTTGTACACAAGCTTGTTAACTGTGGTACACTGTCTTGTTAACACTGTGCCTAAACTTGTTAACTGTGCTACATTGTCTTGTTTACTCGAGAACACACGCTTGTTAACTGTGGTACACTGTCTGCTGAAATCGAGCACACAAACTTATTAACTGTGGTATACTGTATTGTTAACTCGAGCACACAAGCTTGTTAACTGTGGTACTCTGTCTTGTTAACACTGTACCTAAACTTGTTAACTGTGCTACACTATCTTGTTAACTCGAGCACACAAGCTTGTTAACTGTGGTACTCTGTCTTGTTAACTCGAGCACACAAACTTGTTAACTGTGGGATACTGTATTGTTAACTCGAGCACACAAGCTTGTTAACTGTGGTACATTGTATTGTTAACTCGAGCACACAAACTTGTTAACTGTGGGATACTGTATTGTTAACTCGAGCACACAAGCTTGTTAACTGTGGTACACTGTCTTGTTAACACTGTACCTAAACTTGTTAACTGTGGTACACTGTCTTGTTAACACTGTACATACACTTGTTAAGTGTGCTACACTATCTTGTTAACTCGAGCACACAAGCTTGTTAACTGTGGTACACTGTCTTGTTAACTCGAGCACACACGCTTGTTAACTGTGGTACACTGTATTGTTAACTCGAGCACACACGCTTGTTAAATGTGGTATACTGTATTGTTAACTCGAGCACACAAGCTTGTTAACTGTGGTACACAAGTGCGCTTGATTTTTATTTTCAACTCTAGTACATTAGGTTTCCAGGTTAGGTTTGTCCCCACATGTACAAAATATGCCTCGCTAGACGGATCAATGATACACGACGTGTATATCAAAATAAACAACGCGTTTATTGTAATGGAAATGCTGATATTTATATATTAATAA